AAAACAAAATATCCTATTTATATAACATTTATGTCATTTGAAAAGTAAACATCAATTTAATCATAAAAAACATTATTTATTTATAAATATTATGATTGTGCCAAACTTACACTTAAAAATTTATATCCAATCTTAAATTAAATTAGGCCAAATCCAAGGGCCTGGGTTAGATAGCCCAACCCCTTCGACACCTCCACACATCAGCAAAACCATTGCGATTTTTTAATAAACAAACTAAAAATGCATTGATATATTGAATGACGTGGGTCAAAAAGTGATACTTGAACATATGTTAGACCAAAAAATATAAGTGTAAGCTTATAGTAATTAAATGCAATCGACACCTTATTATAAGAGAGCTTGTAGTTTTTGGTATTTAGACGGATTTGTAGTTCCAAGAGCTCTTTGTAGCACAAGTTATAGGAAAAATATGGATTTCAAGTACTACCGGTCCTCTTGGAGGTTTCTTGCACTTGTTTTTGTAGTTGAATTTGCTTTCTGTGGCTTCAGCTATGGAGAAGAAGGTACTCTAGTATTTATTTCTACAAGCATTTCATTTTGAAGACTTGGATTTTGGTTCACATGTAGTATTTATTTTCCTTTGCATACATACATGATATATGAATTGATGTTACAATGAGATAATTTTTTTTATTTTATAAATCTAGTCTTATAATTTGAGTTTGACATTTTTAAATTGAATTCTTATTGTAAAAAAAATACATCGATCATTTGCAATCTTAATTTGTTAGATATTTAATTGTTTATTCGTAATTTTTAAAATTAAAATTTTTGATCCAGTTAAAAATCACTTAAATATGCCACTATAATGTCATATAGATGTTCACGTAGCATAGATCTCAGCTCAAAAAGTTAGATGGGTTCACTTTTTTCTCACGTGGACATCAAAATTTTTTGACTCATTTAATTTGGACATGTAGACATTGAAATAACAAATTTTGTTGAATTTTAACGACAAGGGTTGCAACAAATGAATTTGAAACATTTTTATAAATTATAAATACCATATTTGAATTTTTAAAATTAATAAACTAAGGTATTACATGAAATTCATAGATCTTTAGAGCAATTTACTGCATTCTAACACTTAGCTGTTATCGTTTATATGTATTTAGAAGGTAGAGACCAAATAAATTTGTAATACATTAACAACCAATAACATATGTTACCTCAAGGTCACGTAGAGGTACATGTAATATAAATCTTAATTTAAAATGTCAAACGGAT